CAGGCGCTTGTCCGTCTGTAGTGTGGTTATATTAAATATAAGAGAAAGAGAGAACTTTAAGAAATTCTACAGTGACCATCAAAACGATGAAAAAATATTACCGTAAACAGTTTATTTTGCAACACCACAAAACAAACGATAGCGTAAAATGTAACAGACGTTTTTATATCGTCATCCGATATATATTGTTATATCGAACAGCCCTACTTGTGATTGCCAAGTACATAAGAGAGGAGGGTGCCACTCCTCAGGAATATTCCTGCTGTTTTGAGTGCAATCAGCAACAGCGTCCATCTACAACTATGATGCTTAAATGTGAGAAATTTCTGCCTCAAAAGAAACGGCACAATTTCTCAAGAACAAAAATGTACTGAAATTTAAGCTACAAATCTAATCCTAGCGTTTTGGCTCATACCTTTATCCTCCTTGATGGTGAGCATAGGGAGAGCATAGATGATCTTATAGGAGGTCAGAGGAGCACTCAGGGCACAGCCGAGGATATCCTACAAAGACCAAAAAAAAGAAAAAAGGCCGCTGAATCAGATACATGAACCGCTGGTTTAATATTAGATAACATTTTATTTTTTATTCCACTGAAATTAAATAAATCCATCTAAATGATCTGAACTTCTTTGCTGTAGCTGGAAGCAGCACATGAAAAAAGTAGTACCTGTCCCAGTACTTCCATTATTACTGGCACCACTCCATTTTCCTTGGTGAAGCCCTGGAAAGACATATTCCTGGCAGCCCTTCTGGTGGAGATGAAGACGTCCCCATTGGTTGTCTCAAAAGCAACATACTTCATGTCAGGTCTCACCCAGCAGTTGGTCTGACCAAACATGGTCTCTGGTCTAAGTGTAGCAGCCACCAGGAAGATGTTTTTGCCTTTCATACCGCTGTGGGGAAGTACCGAAACTAAGGCTTAGTGGCAGGATTTAAAAAGGATGACAGTTATATTCAAGAGGATAAAATCAGTCTTTCTTTGTAAAACTGTCATCTCCAAGAAAGTTTTGTTTTGTTTTTTGTGGAAGTACATTGTTAAGTATTTGTTACCTGCTATAAAAGACCTTGGATTTGAATTTTGCTGTGTAGGGTTCAACGACCTTCATCTTGACCAGGGTGTATTCCTGAGGTCCAACTCCCTATAAGTGAGATACAAATGTCAAGGAAGAAAATTTGATAAATAAAAGTTCCTCAATCACTACAATTTAAATTGTAAGAAAGTTTTGTGGTAAAATAAGTAAAACAAACATTTTTAAGCATTTCCTGCAGTAAATCTGTGGTTAAATACGCCTCAACATTGTCACTTTATTAGGTATTAAGTCACTTTGAATGTGGCATTGTTGTTGCTGCTGTTATTAGTCTACTTGGATTTTATGACACAACCATCTCTAAAGACAGAATGATCCAAAAAGTAGAAAACCGCTTCGACCTGATAGGAAAGCAACAACAACTGAAATAAGCCCTTGTTACAGACAGAAGGACATCTCTGGATGCACAACATATCGAAACTACGAAGCAGAAGACCACATGGGGCCCCACTCCTGCTAGTTCTTGTTCTGACAAATCTGCAGCAACTATGTGATGCTGTCATGTCAATGTGGACCAAAAAAAACTTGTTGGGGGGTCACTAGTGAGGTGTACCTAATCTTAAACAGTACTACAGTTTCAGAATAAATAATTTTTTCTGTCAAGCTGAGGACGTCTACCTCTCCTGTCTGTCTGTCATGGTCCATGCATGGTTGTCCATCCTTGGGACAGTAGATGGTATACCTGCAGGCGAGTTCAGAATAGTCACGATATAGACTCAATAATATAAACAGAATATACAGACTCAGAATAGACTCAAAGAAGACTAAAAGGAAGACATCAAATTAAACAGAATTGAGAAAGAAAGCCACTTAAAAAAAGTCAGTAATATATAAACTATGATGATTTTTTCCCTATATCATTAAAAAAAAAACCCAAAAAACCTTGTGGTAGACGACAAGAAAACGTGAAAGCATCTCACCTTTTACCAAATTTGATCTTTTTCCTCTCTTTTAGAGTAACAAACTGCCACCTGACAAAGGAGTCGTAGAAGGGGTTCACGTCTGTGGTGATGAATGAACGCCTCCAGTCCACCTATGAGGTAATGACATAACAGCATGTCAGCACAACTAAATAAATTCAGTGCCTTCCTTTAGCCATGAAAACATGGATGCATCAATGTCACTGTACTTTTTGTGTCTCTTATTTAAAAATTACAATGTTTTGCCACATGAAACTGCATGAATGTTTAAAAGGTATGTGCAGTTTAGTCTTAAAAATAATTTTAATCAAAGCACAGAAAGAAAAAACAAACAAACAGAGAAAGCCACCTTGACTCCCATCCCTTTGAGATCTTTGACAGCCAAAGGAGGGAAGTAATCCAGCCAGTGTTCAGCATCAGCAAACTTGACAATCTCCTGGTCAGTTAAGCCCAGAGACCTCATGATGTCCCACTGGAAAGCGGAGGATCCAGATTTGGCCACTGCTTTACTCTGGCAAAGAAACGAGAAAGAGATTGCAGAATGTTAACAAACTTTCTTTTATCTGAAAAAAAATGGAGAAGCAATACACTACTTAGATAACAGACTAATTTTTTACACCTTCAAACCAAATTTTATGGTACTGCTTTCATCTTAACTCTGCAAATTCTGTCCTGGGTAAAAAAGGCATTAAAAAAAAACAGCTCAAGCTTTTATCATGATAGCATAAGTATAATAAATTCATTTTGAAAGTAGCATTTCTGCCCTGTGATCCTAACCTTTTTGCCCTTTGCTTTGTCCTTGATAATGATTTCATCAGATGTTGTTTGCTGTTGTTTCTCTTCTTCCTCCTCCTCTGGAAACTGTGGAGGGTTTCCATACAACTCCATCTCTCTCTTCAGCTTGTCTGCACAGGCCTGATGGATACAATTATTGATTAAAAATATTGGAAAAAAAAACACAAAGATCTGTTTAAGAGAGATGGATTATGACAGATAGATAGTAGCATAAAATAATTATGTTAAAAGTTGATTTTGGGACAATAAGAACAAACTGTAATTGCATGTTTATATGATGAAAAGTGATAAGATTATGTCAGATTATAGACACCTAGAAATCTTATGAAAAGTTTCTGAAAAAAAAAGAAAGAAAAAAAAAAAACAACATTACTTACTTTGATCGGCATTCCTGTACAGTGCAACCCGAATGGAAAGAGACATTTCTTTCCCTTAAGAGACTGGTAACCAACAGCAAACTGCAGGAAGAGAAATGAACAACAATAGCTAAGAGACAACATATCAAAATGTTTCAATCTTAACTTATTTGCAACAGGTGGTGACTCAGGTCGATGTCTGCCTTTTAACTTACCTCACATTTTGACAAACTGAATGTATGACCAAGGTGCAAACGGCCATTCATGTAAGGATAGGGAAAGGTGACCAGGTACTTGTTTTTACTAGAAGGTTAAAAAAAAAAAAGGTATGGTAAAACAAACAAACAATTTAGCTGCAACCCAACAGGTTTTCCCAAGAATGTAGTGTGAACTATGAAACAACATCAGACAACATGATTCAGCAACAAAAGAAAAAATGTACTACATACTACATATCTATTGCAATATAAAACAATAACTGTATTATATTTAGTTCTACAAGGAAGTTCTACAGAAACTGCTTTCACATTCCAGTGTGCTGCAAATCTTTGGAAATCTTTCTTTATATATGGGCTTACAGTTGGATATTCTCTATCTGGAACAATTTGAGAAATACTGTAAAACTGTTCAGAAAACTGATCACGTGGTTGTTCTTGAAAACTGAAGATACTCACTTTGTACTTTCCCCGACTGTTGTCGGTGCATCTTGCTCAAATGTTCTCTCCCTCTCCCATTTCTCCTGGATTTCCAATTCAATCTTTCTCAGAAAGTCCAGCTTTGCTGTTCCTTTCCGCTCCTGAAATGTACCGTCGAGCAAAGAATCACAAACTGAATGTCATAACAATAACAGCCGCAATATCCAGCTTAACAGAGTCAGACTTTTTTATTTCTGTAATTGTCTCAACAGCTCATGTTAGCTAACTTTGCTAATAGCCACATTGAATTAACGCTCTAAGGCAGAAATTTCCTTTTTTTTTACAAAAAACTAGCATTAACCATTTCATACTGCGAGTAATTAAAAGATTGGACCTACCGTCATTTTGTCTAAAACTGCAAGTAATTAGTTATACTGTTCAAAAAGAAGAAATAGTGTCTAGTTTGACAAGAGAAACCCACGCCACCGGTGCCTGGCTGATGACACCTTTCGCTTGGTTTTCTGGGAAATGTAGTCCATCTGACTTTTCAGACGTATTTTAACCTATCTGTCGTATTTGCACATTAATTAGAATAGCTAAGATTTATTAATCTTAATTACTTTGATAAACAGATGCAAGCCGTCATATGTGCGGCTTTTTTGTTTGTTTGTTTGTTTGTTTAAATGCATAATAAACATCCGCCGTCGTGCTTGCGTTACGACAATTTGACCATGTTGCCATGCCGTAAAATATTTTGTACGACCTGCCTGTGAAGAGAGACAGAAGGCCTTAAAGCTTATAAATTTATAGACGATGAAAGTAGGGTTGTCAAAACGCTCTTTCTTTTTGTAGACAGTATTGTAGTCCTTCTCACAATGATCATAGAAAATGTTGAAGCCTTGAAATCGTGGCTGGCAAAGCTCTTGGAGCCGATGTGAGTATTGAAATGAAATGACATTTAGCGTGCATGCTACGTAGCTGCTTTAGCCTGCTAGCCGCTGGGTTAGCCTGGCATCAATGGCAGATTCTTGCACGAGTAGCTAACCATCGCTTGTTGGCCTTTCGAAGCACAGAGAGGCACTTTTACTTTTCATTAGTTATGATTGTGCATGATGTAGTGAGTTTGCTTGCGTTTGATGCACTGCGAATTCTTGCATTCTGACACTATGGTAGTTAAGAACGCAGTTGGCGCACGGTAGTGTAACTTTATCACAGTTCTGTAGCAAGCTCCTAGCCTTCAACGTGTAGCCCATCTTGCCTAAAACAGCTGTTGTATCTCTGGGAAAAGTTACTGATTAAAACTGTAGCTATTAGCTCGACATACTTCATAGTTAAATGCACACAAATACTTTGCTTTTGGAGTTTCCATAGTAACATATGCTTTGTAAGCGTTACGCTTTCTCTCTGTTTTGCTAACACAAGAGCCTAAAATTCTTTTAAATATGTTGACGAGCTCAAATGGGTAATGGAGTGCATTAAAGGATTTAAGTTACCCCCTCCCTCTCTTTTTTGTACTGTTGGGACAACACACAGTCACTGTTTAATCAACTAATGGAGTAACTCCACAATATTATCGTAGTGTGTCCGAGGTTCATCCTCTAAAAACAAGGAGTTTTTTGCATAGGGGAGAAAAAGTCCTTGCAGAGCCAAAGTGAGGCGTATTTAAGCTGCTTTAACTAAAGGCTGGAGTTCAAGTAGGCATAGTTTCATTCACATTGTTATTACATTTATATTGTTGGTAATTATTAATCATTGGGTATTTCCATGGTCAATGATCCTGTAGTTAAGGGTCAAATTTGACTGTAGCTTTAGTGAGTCAGCAGTTAATTAACTACTAGCAGCTTGTTGCTTGAACTTAGGGCTGTTCGATATAACGATATATATCGGATGACGATATAAAAGCGTCTGTCGTTTCATTTTACGCTATCGTTTGTTTCGTGGTGTCGCAAATAAACTGTTTACGGCAATATTTTTTTCATCGTTTTGATGGTCACTGTAGTGGCTATATTAATTTCTTAAAGTTCTCTCTTTCTCTTATATTT